CCTTTCTTCCTGTCCTTGTGCACCTCTATTCAATCTCGATTCTTGGTCTTTGTCTGAACTGAGAAAAGATCACGTTGGCTACATCAAGTCATACAAAGAAGCGAACAAAGTGCGGTCTCAACCTTCATGCTCATTGAGAAGTGTTGTTCAAAGTCCATGCTGCAGTTAGGTGTGTTGATACAGCAGCGAAAGCTAGTTGCTTTCTAAATATATACTTCCCCCTTCATTTTCCAATAGCTCTCACTGCAAGCAATGAAACATGTACCCCCATGTCAGAAGTTCCTGAGCCTTCTCTTCCTCGACCTTCTTGTAGGAGAAAAGACCAGCAGCTTGTGACGCAGCATGAGATGCAAGCGCCTCTGCTGCATGCGTTAACTTCGTGAAAGACCCAGCGTCAGCTTCACCGTCAGCTGCTTTCGCAGGTGAATCAGGAGTGGCATCCTCAAAGCAGGAAGCATAAGCAATGAAAAACAAAACATGTGCTACGGTATACGGTATACTGATGAACATTAACATGCATGACTAGAATCTCGAACCTGTCTTTAATCGGCTCGGGAAAGCACCAGACTCTTGTGACCCGGTCATTCTCACTGTTTCGACTCGCTTCGCAACTCCGGACGATCAGGACTGGCGGGCACCGCGTGCCACGAAGTCAGCGGGGAAAGAAGTCAGCGGGGGAAGGGGCCCACACATCAAACCTCGCAACGGCCAGTTCATGGTATTAAAAGGATTGTTGTAATCTCCCCCCCCCCAAAAGTATCCGTAGTTGGGAGTATGCATAGGTGTCTGTCTGTCTGTCTGTCTAGTTGGGAGTGCCATCGTAGCTCATCTGTCTTATATCTAGGGCCACACATTCGGGCCTCTGGGAAGGCTAGTGTCCTCGCGCTCCGCTGCGTTGGACCCTCCCATGTCCTCTGCTGCCGTGGTCTCCTTGCTCTCCTTATTGAAGCCCACCGCTCCTGTTCGAACGTGTCGCGCTAACGCGACGCGTCGCGCTAACGCGAACGCAAGAAAACGGAGAACGAGAACGCACAGCACCCCCTTGTCGTGGAGAACGACAGGTTCGACATGAGAACGCACCTTCTAGAAAACAGCCAGAACTTCTCTGGTGGAAACCGTTGATTGGGTAGATGTTGCTTTTTCCCTGGATGATGATTATTCGGTTGCAGGCCTAGGCCTCTAAATCTTTTATACCGACTGTTGCAGGTCATGGGACAAAACAAAACATTGATAATCAACCCGCAGAGTCTGCGCGTCTGGTGCAGGACATGGTCAAACGTTTGAGTCGTGACGAGCGCAAGGCGCTTGCGGGGACTCTACACACCAAACAGTACATATGGTTCATGATGTTAAAGAAACATAGCAGCGTTCCATTCTTCTATCATGCGCCAACTTGTACTTCGCTTTGTGGTCTGAATCTAAGGGAGATGACACCCCAAACTTTGTGGCATCGCTGGTCCTTGTGTCGTATGTTGAGTCTGGGAAGCGACATGTTGAGTCTGCCAGTCTTGGATTCGCATCGGGCAATCATCCGACCGTCCAAACCACCGTCCCCGACCGTCCCAGCCACGACCGTCACCATCCTGCCGGACCGTCAGTGCTCATGAAGCATCACGCTGCCGCCATGACGCGTCCGCCGCTCGGGTTGTGACGGTCTGCAGCAAGTTGTGACGGTCGAGTGACGGTCGAGCGGCGGTGACCGGAGAGTCTGCGGTGACCGGACACGGAGCTCCCAGCCACAGCAGAACTTTTCTTTCTTTGTGTGTCTCATTGAGCTGTGGAAAGGCCTGCAACCTCATCATCCACTGGGCCCATTGGAATGTGATATACCCAATCTAGACTGCTCTAAGGAAAAAACATCTGATCCATTGGTGTTTGGATATGTTTGGGGGTGATTCCGAAGGTCAACAGACCTTTTTTGGTACCTGAACTGAGGATAGCTGTGGCTCAACTCCCGAGGGGAGCCGTCAAATATCGTCAGATCCAGGGTCATTTGACTGTGTTTGTGATGGCTTGTGCGTCTGAAAAGCTCTTGTGCTACTGAAACCTGCTGCCTTGAGAAATTGTTGGCTGCGTTTTTGAGTGGAATCAAACCTCAGAGGGAATAACCAAGCAATGAGCTGGTACGCGTCGAACTTCTACCACCAAACTACTATCAATGAACAACAAAAGCCTGCACCCAGCTGAAAACAAGAAACATGCACTTGGGGTGGGCATCCCGAAACCATCCCGAAACCGCAAGAAACCTGGCCCCACCCTCGACCCTTGGGGCCCCAGATTTCTTGCACTCGGACCGACTCGGACCTATTGGACTCCTGTTGGATCTGCGAGAGGTTCCGCCTTTCTGCGCAATTCTGACTCAAGCTGCATGACAGACTGCATAAGATCTTGAGATGTCTTGCGTAACCTTGCTACTAGCTACTTCCATCCTCCCCACCCATTGAGAACGGATGCCAGGTTCAGGGTCATGCCTTGCATTGACAGAATGAACCGATGAACCACTGTCATCTTATGTCATCGTATTCTTAAACCAGCTGATGCTGCTTCTTTTTTTGAACCCGAATACAAAGCTGTTGCTCAAAATGGGATGCTCTTACCACCGTCTGTTCCATCTACGAGCCGGCTGACAAGCCTGATGCCACTGGGTTTTGGAAGTTGACATATACTTACCACCCCCCCCCGCAGAAAGCTTTGGGCTATCTCTTCGGGTCTCTGAAAAGCAGCTCCTCAAGCAGCCTTAGCTCCTTGTAACTCATCAAACGACCTACGGCCCACCACCTAGGTAGAAAATTCCAAAACATAGGGCTCCACCTAGGTGGAGGATGTTGGGTAGTATAACTCTACCACCTTCCGTCTCCTACGGCCTACCACCTTTGTAATACTCCCCTTTGGGCTCC